AGACATAAGGGTCGAGGTTAAAAGCACAGATCCTGCAACAGAATTGAGAAAACAGGCAGAAATCCCTGGGGCGGCTGTTAGACACCACACAAGTGTGTGTGTGCGTCAGACAGATACTATCACGTGCCTGAATATATTTCAAAACAATGCATTTTATTCAACTTCTTGCAGCTGCTTGGTGAAGAAGAAAATCCTACCAGACACATGTAAGTGCAAACCCTTTTTTGCTCCCGTGTCACATCACAGTGATTTCCCTGAGACACAAAGCAGGATTAAAACCCACCCAGCTGGAGAGAGAAGTGAGGCTGCTCCAGAGCGCAGGTGTGCTGGGGAAAGTAGCTCCACAGATACAGGGCACATTGCTCATCACTTACATTGCTTCAAATCAGTTTGGACAAAAACCACAACAGCGTTTAAAAACCTACTCAATGGCTGAGGGAAGGGAAAGGAAAAAGGGTTGCAGGGAGCTGAGCAGGAATTTGAGGAAACACTGCCCTCTTCTTTTGTATTTTGTTGAACTGTTTGTGTGATGCAGGTCATGAAGTCTCTGCTTGCTTGCTAATGATGCACACTTTGCATCAGTAGAAGCCCTACTACCATTAACCCCATCAGATTGGCACCGTGCTCAGGAGAAATGCTGGACTGGGCAAGCATGGGGACAGCAGAGTCTGTTTTCCTTAGAGTAATTGCTTTCCTTCACTCCTCCTCTTCCCTGGGTCAGGGCTGTGCACATTAGGCTGGCTTTCACCGTGAGCATCAGTGTGTTGTGTAGCTGCTGGGTAAGTACATCAGGAGGCTCACGCCCAGCGTGCAGCTCTCATTGTTCCTTTCCCTCAAAGCTGCTTTCCAATTACACTTCGGTCTGGGGGGAGAACATATTTCCTGCAGTTTTGAAGCCGGGCAGATTCTTTGCTGAACTGGGACTTGATAAATGTGTATTCAGTCTCACGCACCAGAACACTGAGCAACACCAATATGAAATGCTATAGAAATGCAGCATTTCACTGAGAGAAACTCATTGTTTTTAAGCAGACGCCATCCAGCAGATAAATGCAGAAATGTACCCTTTTATCATTGTTTTTGCAAGATTTGTGTTTGCCCAATTTGATGGTATCTGGGTGACCATAACAACCAATTACATTCATTTGCCCACACCTGATAGCACAAAACAGATTCCTGCCGTGTGTCACTGTATTGGGACAGTCAGCAATGACACACAGCCAAACAAATATTTGACAAAGGACAGTTGGATTTCTCACTGCTCTCTGAGTAACGCCGACTCTATCCCAGCTATTTTCTGCTCTCGCAGCTTCTTTGTTTGAATGTTTAATTCTTCTTCCTTCCTCTGTTGCACACAGCAGTGGAGCAGGGCAGCAGCTCAAAATGGCTCAAGGTGTCTCTGCAAAGTGCCAGGAGGGATTATTTCTGCATGAGCACAGGCAGTCGTGCTTGCACAGGGTGTTGGCCTCACATCACACTTGTGGCTGAGCATGGTTCTGGTTGGAGTGGGCCCACAGCTGGCCAGTTTGCGTGGCCAGGGATGGCCAAGGTGCCATTCCCACATCCACATCTCGGGTGGCACAAGAATTATGCTCAGCTCCCCGCAGCTCATGAAACCTGGCTAGCAGCTCCTGGCCATTTGGGTACTAAATCTCCCTACTAAAAGTAGGGAACTTGTAGAGTCAGGAAGTTTGGCCACACCTGCCGACGCATCCTTCTAAAACCCTGCTGAGGAAAAGGAACCACTAGAAAGTCAATCCAGCCATGCGGGATGAGATAAACTTAATTCAAACAATTTTGAGTGCGTTTACATCAGGCATTTACACCGGGGCAGTCGGCTTGGCTTTAAGCAGGATTAGCTGAGTGGAGGAGCACAAAGCGTTTCCGAGGCTGAAGGGCCCTTGGTTTGATGCTGTTGCAGGCGGATTAGAGCCGAGCGAGTGTTGGAGGCTGCCGAGCGCAGCGCTCTGTTCCTCACGGCACAAGAAGCTTAGGGAAAGGACGCCACAGGCAGATGAGCTGGTGAGACACGATGCTAAGCACAACCCATCAGGCAGCTCAGAGGAATCCTGTTTCTGTACACCACTTGATCACATTTTGCATGAAGCTGCGATTTATCTCGGCAGCGGTGCTGGCTTAAGCAGCAAATTCCACTCAGAAGAAATTTGCAGGTTGAAAGGAAAAGAGTTGTTAGAAAAATCTCACCGACTGGTGCTGCAGGAGCGTCCCGGTGGCTGCAGAGTGACCACGACATGTGTAGATGTGCCCATTGACATTGCCAGCTTCTCAGCCCTGATGAGCAAGGCTGCACCAGCTCTGCCCCGGGCACACAAGCAGGGTGAGGATCTTTGCAGCCAGCCTCACGTGTCAGCCCTGGGGTTATTCCCTGACTGGAGCTGCAGAAATCTGTAGCCTGTATCCAGTGTGGGAGCAGTAACAGGACCCAGCCCTGGCAGTGACACATCTCTTGGCCCCACATCAGACGAGCCACGTGGGTCCACAGGGCTTCCTGTAACTCCTGAGTTTGGAACCACCACCCTGCTCCTGCCCTGAGCCAGCCAGCCCACAACATGTTTTCCCATGCAGCTATAGAAACATTTACTAACAACATCTGGTAATGGCCTCACCCTACTTCTGATCCTTTCAGTGCCCTCCTGGTCAAATGACATAACTTGGGGTTTTAGAAAATCTTTAGACATGAACTAAAATCTCTCTGGTGCTGCTTTCTCTTTTTTATTTTTTCGACAGGTCAAAGGCTGCTCTGATATGAGGTCTCACCTTTCCTGCTCCCACTCACCTGCCTACCACCTTGGGTCCATTTTTAAGCACAGTTACCAGCACGCTCATCCTGATGTGAAGGGTCTAAAGGCTTGAGATAGTTCTCCCATCAGGCAGTGTGTGGTTCTGGCTCTCACCGACCCCATGGCCACATTTTTGCTTTCTAGCCAAGCAATTTGGGGCCAGAGAGGAGCTCAGGCAGACAGGTGCGGGCAGTGCAGGTCCCCCCTGGGGCCCAGGTTATGCCACTGCTACGTGCTGGGACCCCACTTAATTGCTCCTCACCACTTAGAGCAGTATTTCAGCTGTAATGTAATTCCAGGCCTCCAGCACGGCCACTTCTTGTGACCACCTCCCTCCTCCCCATGCCCCCTCCAGGGATCCCTTTCCTCCCTCTCCTGCAACCTTTTGCTGTGCCAGGCTCGGCTGGGTCTCACTGCAGAGCTGACACTGCTGTGGAGGAAGTGAGATTGGTGATTTGTTAGTCAGGGCTTTTCTTTCTTCCTCTCAGTTGGTTCTGAACTGCAGAAGCAAAGAGCACTCGCATTGAAGACGGTGTCTCGGGTGAAATGTCTAATGCAGTCCCAACTGCTCAGCAGTCATTAAACATCTCAGGGAAGATGTTCCAGGAACACGGATGTTAACCTTGTGGTCCTGGACTGATTCCAGCTCGTTTAATTACAGTTTTCATTGCTGAAATTTGCTCTGCACTTTTGACCAGTTATGGGATTTTTTTCCCTGTCTCCTCGAAGCTGTTGAGCAGCCTTGCTATGAGCTGCCCCATTCCCCACACGACCTGAAGAAACACGCAATTACTGCTGCTCCCTCCCCCAAGATTGTCAAATCCGTTGTATTTTCTGGTTACTTAACAATTCAGGATTCTGCACAGTATCACCGGCTCACCTATACAGAAACATTTTACCTGTTTAACCTGGATAGATGGATATAAATGCATAGCACAGACTATATATGAGCCAAATACATGCCATTGTTGCAGAGAATATGACCTTTATCATTAATATAAATATAGATAAAAGTATCATATATAATCATATAAAGATATAAAAAGTAATCCAAAGAAAGTGATAATGTAATGCAAGCTAAACAACCTACACAGTCCCTCGTAATGAAAAACGGTATGAGTATAAAGCTATATGAGTATAAAAACACTATATGGGTATATACATTCATATATGTGTGTGTGTGTATATATATATAAACTCTATAAAATGAATTAAGCTGTTTTAAACCTCACACTTTTGTGTATGTGGGATGAATCTCCCCCTTCAGCAAGCCTTGGCAAACAGTTTGGGGGTAATAAAGCTGTATTGCGATGGAATCCCCATCTGACAGCATCGTGGGATTTGGTGGGGTGTGATGACAACCTTGGAAGTGTCCAAGGCCAGGTTGGACAGGGTTTGGAGCAACCTGCGATAGTGGAAGGTGTCCCTGCCCAGGGGTGGAACTGTATGGGCTTTAAGGTCCCTTACAACCCAAAATTCTGTGATTCTGTGGTGCGGCACCAAAAGGCCACCGAGCCCAGAATCCCGCCATGGGGCGGACGCTCCCCTGCCCCACAGAAAGCCCCAGGAGCACATCGGTTTGGGGCGGGGGCCCCTGCCCAGCTCGGCGGGGGGTGTTCCCCAGGTGACCCAGCGCTCCGACCCGGCACACGGGGCGGTTTAACCGCCGGCCTCCGGCCCCTCACGCCGGGGCTGCGCTGCCCTCCCTGCCCCGCAGGCGGCGCCGCGCGGCCGCCGTTGCCGCCCCCGCCCCGCGCCC